TCTTTTTCTGTCTCCTGCTCCCACTCCATCTCCTCTTCTTTCCAGAGTTGTGGTTTTTTAGGGGAAAAGTGGAGGTGTTACTTTTTGGAGGAGTTGCGGTATAATAGGCAGCGTTTCCTCTTTTCCTTCCAGCTTTCCTAATATCTACTCCTCTCTACCTGTGTTGTGTGTGGCTCTTAATGAGGGCAGATGTCAAGGCACAGAATGTTTTTAAGATGCAGAAAAGTTGTTTTTTTTGTAGATGCAAAATCAGGGCGAAAATAGAATAGATAAAAATGGCAATGAAGTCTTGTTCTAGAAATGATACCATGTTACAATAAAATCAGACATTGTTACCGTCTTGGAAATAAACCAGATTCATATTTCTTTTTTTTAATGAACAATATACTGCAGACACACACAGTGCTTCAGTCAGGAAAGTAAATATAAAACTACATCAAGTAGAACTACTTGGATTCGAACTAATACAAAATAATATTTGTAGAAAACTTAGTCAATTATTTTCCTCTAAATAAAGTTCTATTGGAGAGATTAATCTGCTTGTTTTCCTGGAAATGCTACCGGGATGTAGAGCGGGTTGAAAGTTGTCCGCTCGATCTCGCACATGGAGCCATGTCTGCAAGTGTGAAGTATCTTCAGGCCAGTAAGGTCTGCGCTTCTGTAATGGGTTGGTGAATCCATATAATGGTCTGAAGCATGGGATAAAGATGATGGTCCTCCAGTGTGACAAGGCCTAATTGCCCATCAACCCGTGGTAGAGAGAGACATCACCATGTTCCGTATGTGCCCTCTACTGCAGCCAACACCTTCATAACATCTGCTGAGGACCTTTCTGGGCCAACAGAACACCGAGGGAGGATTCCTATTGGGATGCGTCTCTGCTCCTTAATTTCAGCGCGCATCATATACACTCATGCAAGCAGGCACACACATGGAAAACGACACATTCTTCCACACACACCTTGCAGCTCTTTTTTTTCTTCCTGCAGAGCTTCCTGTCCTCTGGTTGACCGAGCCCAGCCTACTGGCAGCGTCCTTTGCAACAGGCTTGGGATGGATCGAAGCCGCAAAATGTTCCAGGTTTCAAAACAAGACGGAGATGGAGGGGAGGTCATGTCATTAAAGTGCTTCCTCCACCTCCCAACAAGAGGGGACTCGGTACAAATGCAGAAAGATGGGAAGGACCTTCCTGCATGGTACATTATTAGATTTGGATGCCAGAGCAGTATCATACTCCACATATATTCAAAAGCATAGAAGGTTCTCTTCTTTGTTTGCTTCAGTGAGCATGTTACAGCATGAGACACAGGTCAGCCAACAGCGTTGAAGAGTGAGTGTTCACAGGTCAGAGTGCTACATGATGTGAGAGGAGGTCGGCGACCTTGCCGGTGCATCGCCTCCTTTAAATCGCTGTTCTGAGGATGCTCCGACTGCTTAGCAGGTACTGGTCAAGGTTGGGGCGAGGGTAAGGAGCGCTGATCCAAGATCTGTTTGCAAAGCAGCATGTAACCACACAGCATTCAGTGACCCTGAGCGGTGAATATTACAGCGCGTAGAGAACACTGTTTGTGTATTTGCTGTAGACGGGGCTATGGACTGTGGTTGCGGTGTAAAATCAGAGAAGGGTCCTCACATTGAACCCATCAGATGAAGCAAGGCCCCTCAGTTCATTAGGAAGTCTGTACTCAAGCGTATAGTGTTTTTTGCTGCACTCCCCCCCCATCCTTCTCTCTCTCTCACCCTTCAGAGTGAGTTCAGCAGAGATTCCTTTGGCATTACCCTCACCCCAGACTGCTGGAAAACCGCAGCGCTCCGGATGCTGACCCTTGCTCGGCTCAGCACAATGCTTTAATTTGGTCTGTTGTTTAAAGTAATTAGAAAGCCTTTTTCCCTTGTTTTCTTTTCTATTCTTCTCTGTTCTCTGCCAAGAGCGAGAGGGAAACAGTGAGTCGTCCATGACTTCAGCTTGATAAAGACTCGGAAGAGAAATCCGGGGGTCCGGGAGAGGAAGCGAAGAACGCAGATACTTCATGCACTCTCTGTACCCACTCCCCCCCCCCCCCCCCCCCCCCCCCCCCCCCTGCACTGACGCAGATTGGGTAACTCTGAAAACAAACAGGGACAGGACTCTGGGGATACTTGCATCTGAATGTGTGCGTGTGTGTGTGTACAGCATTTGCAAACAAATGTCTTAAAATAATGAATGCTTACACCATTCGCAGGTTATTTACACGTGTTCAAATTTGACTTAAGATAGTAATATCACAACTGAGAGAGGCAGAAAGATAATATTGGAGCAAGGAGAGAGGGTTCATCGCATTCACCAATCCTGAGGCAGTGAGATTGCAACGGCAAGACGATGACAGTCAGAGAATATTCTTTGTGTCGCCCGTGCTGCTCTGTACTGTTCAGCACAACTGTCACAGCGGCAAGAAAAGGAGCATCAATGGTGCTAATCTTTGACAATTAATCCCACTTTCATCGGCTATATTACTCCAAAGATTGTCTGCACACACTCGTATATGCAAGCATACACACAGTAGATGGCCATACATGCACACGTTTTTCACACAGACACACATAACTTTTATATCTATGTGCACACAGTGTATTTTCCCACACACACACACACACACCTGGAGTGACACAAAGATGCAGTTGCGTTTCTACACTTTGGTTGTGCCTGAATCATAACCTTGGAATAAAAGTGAACATGTCATCCTACATCAGGCAGCAGAACACCACCATAATGACACAAAATATTCAGTATTGATGCATCGTGCACACAGCTGCGCATTCACTTATACTACATACACTGCTATCCGGTTCTCTTGCGCTGCGTATTTCCCTCCGACTATCTCACCACCAGCCTGAACCAACTTCTCTACATACTCTCCACTAGCAGCTCTGACCCTCCACTCCACACATAGCAAGGCTGTCCAACTGTAAGAAGTACACAACACACTCACTTGCGGATTGTGCTCATGTAAGAAACATATAAGAGACATTTAACTGAAAGAAGGTCAGATATGAAACTTTGCAGGAGTGCTCTTAAATATGCTAAAACATATGCCTGGCCTTGGTGTTCTATTCAGACCAATGGCCCAAGCAGATAACTCCTTTGAATTCAAGCAAACATCCTCAAACCGATGAAGACGATGATGTTAAAGCAACCTTCAGAGGAAAAAATGCCCTTCAGCTCGGAAGTGTGGAGAAGTACATGTCAATCAAAAGTACAGCGGTGTGATGCTACTAAGACAGTATTAGACATTGAAACTAAAAGATCCTATGTCAGCACACCGTCCATATTTTCCCTCGTCTCTGAGCACAGGGCAACTTCGTAGAGCTGAGCCGAATAGCATTGCTGTTTTAAAAAGGCCCTTTTTATGAGTATCAACACTATCAACATGTCTTAATGTTCCAACCAATTCCTGAGGTACTTGAGACACAATAGTCCCTTTCAAGGGAGGAGAAAAAAGCAATTCTGCATGAAGTGGGAGTAACATGTACATACTCATATGTGAAGTGAGTGGCACATTACAAGAATAAGTAACCTTTGTTGCCTCATTTTAATTAGGAAGTGCATGGGAAAAGAATATCATTAGGTCTGGATAAATACAAGCAGCAGGTGGGGGGGACAAATCATCATGCTGGGTTTTGTCTTAAGAAGTGCGATTTCTTTTTGTCAAGCAATGTCGCCATCTACAGGTGAAGAAAAATATCTCATGTCTGTGTCATTCACAAGTTTGGAAAAGGATATATTTTGTATAAAAACCTACTTGCAATAGAAATCCTTAAATTCTTCACTGAACTGACTATATCCAGTTCAAATACTGTAAATTCCAGTATGTACCACAAACTACGGTATAATGACCAGGTTATTATCAAGTAAGAGGCGGCTCGTTTCGGTCTCATAAGGTTGTCTTTTGCTGATTTTATTGTCAACTTAAACTCTAAAATTAACAAATATTGAAATAGAGGCTTATAAATAGAGAAGCTTAACTCTAGAGACTTAGCAAATAAATCTGGGTTGTAAGTTATGTGCAGTTCATATCTAATTCCATTTTTATGTGTAATATTACAATGACACAGAGCAATGAGATTTAGTTCATCATAATGACTGAATATCTCTTCCAAATCCAATCTAACCCAAAGAATCCTTATGAAGAGATAAATATACACATAGTAGGGAAGATACTGCGAGAAAATCTGAGGTCTGGTGTTAACTGGGTATTTCCAACTGAGTCTTGGAAAAAGGAACTTATTAAAATTAATCACTTCATTGTTCACGCTCACTCCATAGTCCAGCGCTCTCTCTCTCTCTCTCTCTCTCTCTCTCTCTCTCTCTCTCTCTCTCTCTCTCTCTCTCTCTCATTTTCACCCTCTACTCTCCAAATGTGCCTGGCCATGATTAAAACATGTCTGTTTCTCCATGACATTGCTTTGACATCATTTAATTGGTATAAGAGATAAAAAATAAATGAATTAAATAAATATACTACCTGGTAAGTGGCGTAACGTAGCTCAAGGTGACAGCCTATTATTTCTCCCTTTTCCTCAAAGAAGGCAAAGTGAGAAATGCGAGATTGTACTGAGAATGCAGCTGCTCAAGGGGCAGATGGAGCTTTTTTTTTATCTTCAAAAAAATTCACCGTAGATTTTATTACATTAAATTCTAATTTTGCCCAAAGTTTGTGCAATCAAAAGATACATTTAAAATGTATATTATGCTCATCTTGATGCTTTCTCACTCACCTGTATACTGATCATAATCACCTGTCACATCTTTAACAGCACACACATGAATTGCATGTATCAGGTCTCGCACCAAAGGAATGAAATGCATGGAAATGTGATTAATGTTGTAAATAAAAAGAGCGTAATGGCTCTATATAAACAATGGTGTCCGAGTTTTAACCAGGCATTGTGTGTGAAAAGCGGCTTTTACAGTGAAATGAAAGAAAGGCGGAGGGATATCAAGAAGCCGTCGGGTTACTCACCACATCTTGCCTGGTATCCTTCCCCGATGCAATGAGGATGTAGTTCCAGACCAAAGGCAGAAGCAAAGCCAGAGGAATCATGTAGAGTTCAAAGTTCCAAACAACGATGACAAAAAGCTGAAGAGAGAGAAAAAGACAAAACCATCAGCAAAAGAAAAGTGAGAACAAAAAAGTGAGAAGAGTGTGGGGTACGGATGTATACATTCAAGACCCCATATTGACCCCCATGAGGCAAACTCCTGAGAACGTACGCCGACCATATGTGCGATTGGAAACGACGCATTCAAGCGCATTCATATGCAGAATCATAACCACCATGGGACAAGGCGTAAAAATAAGACTGGGCTTCAACAAAGGTACAGGCCTGGTGTCGGTAAGCCTAGGTTCACTGCCCTGACCCTCAAAGCATTCTGGGCCTCCAGCTGAGGAGGAAGATGATGAGGATGATGAGTACGAGCCGTCAGAGCCTCTTTCCTCCATGCCAATCATCCCAGAGGCTGAGGTCATGCACCGTTTTCAGCCGCAGCACGTCAAAGCTGACCCTTCCACACTCAATCCCAAACTGCAGTATCTGACCTCACACACCCCACACCCCCAGTCCCTAACCCTGTCACTCCAAGCCCCAATACCCTCTCCTCTACCCCAAAAGACTCCTATGCCCCATCTCTAACCTTCTCTGCACCCATCTGCCAAATCCACAACCTCTACACCTCCCCTCTCATCACCAAACAAGAAAAGTACCATCGGAAAATTAACCTTTCCTAAAACCTTGCATTTTGGTTTTGGCAGCGCTCCTTAACCTCTGACAACAGATTATTGCTGCTTGGGACAAGACGTATGTGGGAAAGTGAAATTGCTAATGATGGAAGCTTGATATTTTATGACGGCATTGCGTTAATTGTGAGAGATGTTGAGAGAATTGTGTCAGTTTCAGAAAGTTAAGCTGGAAGAAATAGATTTTATTCCCACAAAATAACCTATCAGAGAGAAAAATGGAACAAAAAACATTTTATTTTCTAATAATTTAATTTATAAGTATACAGAGATGTTTCGTGATTGATAAGACTCCAGCAGCAATTATAACATATGCTGAGAAATGCAAACCATGCCTAATACTTTTCTAGCAAAACATCTTTATCACATTCAAGTACCAGAAATCCATTACTTTAAATATGAGCAAAGAAGATTTTAATTACTCTCTGTATGAAAATGGATCCATGTTCAACAGTCACTTCTGATGGGACACTTTTAAGAGAGGTGAAATTGAAACTACTTCTGATATACAGCCGATTTATTGGTCTGTGTACCAATTATGATCGACCCTGTTTTGCTCAACAAGCAAAAGAAAACTTAACAATCAAATAGTTTTATTTGTGTGTGTGTGTGTGTGTGTGTGTGTGTGTGGGGGGGGGGGGGGGGGGGGGGGGGGATAGATGGAGAGAGAGAGGGGAGAATGAAAAACAAGCTCTCTTCATTGTGTTTACAGTCCAAGGTTAATGTGAATATGAGGTCCAACAGCCCCTCAAGAGTGTGTATGCAGTTCTGCTGTTACTGTAGTAGAGCTAGTCGGACTCTAAACTGCAGACATACACACACCGTGCGGTCTGTGTTTCAATTTCCTTTCTCTCACACACACACACACACACACACACACACACACACACACACACCTGAATAGCAATGAAAACAACTCTTCACAATCGCACAATTAAACATTTTCTCAACTTTTCCACATAAAGTTTGAAAGGCTCATATTCAAACTTTTGAATAGAACTATGACTTAATGTAAAACGAACCAACAGTGTATACAAAGCAAAAACAGACATAAATTAAACATTGGAAATGTCCAGAACATTTGCATAATGCTCACAGCTAAATGTATTTTTCAAATAAACCTGAACGGCCTTGGTGCAACAACCAAATGTCCCGAAAGGATTGAAATCTTTCTCCGTCTCTCTCAGGCTCAACTTCACTTTCTCACATACAAAGAGTCTCTCTGATAAAACTGTGTAGGAGAATTGGCAAGAAACTATTCAATAATTCATATTTGTATACTAATAAGCAAAACAACCATTGCCCTTCATATAGAAGAAAAAGCTGTTAGGACTGTGTAAGCTCAACAACTGAAACTTGCATACAGACAAAACACATGCTCATATATATATATATATATATATTTTTTTTTTCTCTAAAATTATCCATATTCCTACAAATTAGTAGAATTTACAAATCTGTAACGCTGATAAACACTGGAATAATCTGTATCTAAACAATGTGCAAAAGAGGAGCAAACATGTCTTCAGTCAAGCAAACAAAGGAGCTCATTTGTCTTAAACCTATTCTGGTAGAAGCTATAAATACCTGCACACTTACAAACATCTTCCCGCAGATACACACCGTGCTCCTGCTATAAATATACGGTACAGCAGGCATATATTCTACGCTAAATATTTTGAGTGCCTGCTTCTCTAATCGCTCATTATATCGTTATCACACAACTAATGAATTACTCCTCTCTGTCCTGATGTTTATATGAAACCATAATACCCCCTTTTATGTTTTAAAAATATATTGCTTTCTTCTCCAGTTGCCTGAGGTTGTTTAACCTGCCGTCCCCCTTCATTCCTCCTGCATTTGGTTATAGTAGCTGAGGGCGAAGTTTTGACTGGCAGCTAGAGGAACCGGACACCCAGGCTCAGCAGTGGCCAGCCCTGCCCCGTCTCCGTGCCCCCCGGCTGGGTAATGGGGGCCCTGCAGTGCCTGGACCTTTCCACCAGGACTAGGCGATCACAGCCACCACCCCCCATTGCTTGCTACACCAGATAGCAAGCTCTTTGCCTGGGGAAGAGGGAGTGGGAAGGAGCCTGCTGTGGATGTCAGCGACCAGAGAGAAGCATGGGGGGGAAACACAACGATAAAAACGTGGTGGATCGAAGGACAAGAAGAGGGGGGGGGGGGGGGGGGAATGCTAAATGAAGCTCCAGACATAGTCTATGGGAACAATTTGTAGATGACTGTGTGGTGGTCAGAGTATCTGAACATGCACCGTGCCCCACTCCTGCTTTATACTGCTGAATCCTTACATGTGTGGTAATGTCAAAATGTTTATATAAACAGTGTGGTATCTTTCTCTGTATATGTACTTCTATATTATTCAAACTAATGTATTTTTGAGAGCATGTACATAAGTATGAATTTTATTTGCTACTGAAACAAAATCTTTCCTTATCTTTCCTTCTCATACTACCACTGTATTAAATATTAGCTGTAATTATCTGAACGACTAAAGAACAGTGGGGATAAATATCCATTTAAGAGGCAGTTTAGTTCTTTTCCATAACAGACATTTGATGTTGACACCAAAACCACTTGCAGCAATTTACCCTTTAAAAAGCAAATCTATTTTGTTATAAAAAAATCGATCATTTCTTTTTAAATGACTTGTGCTTTAACAAGTCTTTGGTGAAATGCATTGGACTTTCTAAGAACAGAACTATTTAACTCTCATAAAACATAGTAAAACAATATTTTCCACTGACAAACCTGCAAACCATTTCAGATATATTTTAAGGCTGCATTTGAACTGGGCAAACTTCACATCTAAGCACAAGCTGAATTTCCAATGAGATGCATAATTAAAATAGACAATCAGAAAGTTGCGCAAAGTAAAACAATGGCAGTAAATGTGTAATATTTTGGCTAAAATATCAATACACAGAAGCAGCGCACTAATTTATTCCGACAAGTCTGTGTAGTTGAATTTTAGCATGGTTATTATCTTTGCTGCTGTCTCTTAATATTAAGAAATCCCCTGAACACATGAAGATATATTAAAAATGTTAACAAAATAGAGAAGTCGAAATGATTTATTCAAGCACTCATTGCGGCGGGTTGAGAGTTGTATCTTGCATTATTTGTTTGAAAACACAGCCCGCGTCCTCACGGCTCTGAGCCGCGGCACTGTGGGAGGGTAATATTCAGTACTTTGGCTTACATTAACCACACACCAGGCTAACTTTCCCCCTGCTCTGTCTCAGTGGAGTGAAACTGAAGTTTGGATTTCAGAGTTCCCCTTTATCTCTCTTACATCAATTTCCGTGCTGGCACTAAGTGTTGCCAGATAGCAACTAGAAGTCCTGTTAAGTTCGAGGGAACGAGAGAGAGAGGGAGGGAGTCCGTGTCCTGTTTGTGAACGGACCGACCCATCGTTCAGTGGTGCTAGACTGCCCCCTGCTGCACCCCTGCAGAACATAGATCTGCAGCACAATTACTGCTGTTCATCCGATAAAAAAAAAGCAGCCTGAATGACTAAGCCTAATGTGTCAGAGCCAATCATTTTGTAATAACATGAAAAAATTAAAACAAAGCATCCACCATTTTATGGCTCCAGAAATGAAACCGCACACGGGTACCTATGAGAAGAAAGGATGCCGAGTCCCTGACGTCGCAACAAAAGGCCTCACGCACTTTCTGTTGAGTCTTTATCTCTGGTGATTAAACTCTGACTTGGTATTCTCCGTTAGTCATGCCACTATATTTCAACTATCATTCATTTTGCAAATCAGGAGAGCAGTAAAATGTAAAAGTATATCTTTCAAAGCTGTCCCTTGCTGTGGGCAAAGACGAACTCCAGACTTTAAAACTTTTAAAAGTTAGACAGGTTCTTTGAAGAGGAGTCAAAGGAGCAATTTAAAGAGACCTGGAGTGGTGTGTACCACTGACTGCTATGGCGTCTCTGCACTGTGTGTGGGTGTATGTGTATCAAACTGCCAGCCAGGCATGTGCAAACACACACACACACACACACTCCAATAGTTGCTTCTGTACCTGTCTTTGCTTTTTTTCCCTTTTTTATTTCAGCAGGGTGAATTTTTATCTAAATGCAAAGCAGGTGATAGGTGCTCCAGTTTCCTCTAGAAGTAGCTCCGTTGTCTGGGCTCTCTTCCTGATAAGAGTCCTACTTTGCCTGACATAAAAGAGCCCAGTATCATTTCCCCTGCCTCCCCAACAACCCCCAGCTCGCTGCCCTCGCCCTTCCCCGAGCTTCACAAAGCTGCCTCTATTTGCTCCCAATTCAGAGCCCAATTGCAGATAAAGTTACAGCAAATTTGTTTGGAGGAAGAGCTGCTGAGGCCTGCGGTCCCTGGGGCAATAACAGCCTTGTCTTGCAGGGGCCGTGGGGAGAGCTGGCAGCAGCGGGAGAACAGAACCCAACACTGCTCAGCCCCACAATGGCCTCAACTCTCTGGGAGAGAAGGGGAGGGAGAGATAAAGAGGAACAGGGATGGATGGACAGACTGAAGGGAGAGGCAGTCCGCTTGCAGGTGTGGAGAGAGGAAGCAGTCGCTTAACCCCGAGACAAGGAGACGGAGACACCAAGACCGACCCACACATGCGCGCACACGCACACGCACACACACACACACACACACCACCCATCATGCAGGACAGGAGGTAACTCCAGTCCCGTCCATTGTGCCAACGCCTCAGGCAAAGCTGCCACGGTGGCTGATTCACTGTCGGGATGGGTGGGTGACAGCAGTGTGGGTGTGAGAGAGAGAAAGGCTGCATGTGAGACTATGTGATATCTCCCTTTCTCTCACATGCACACAAAACACACACAACATACACACTAATCACAGCTGGCACTAATGGGCGATGTGTACATGCGGCTGGCATTTCAGAATTGGGCAGAAGACAGAGTAAGAGACCATGAAGAAAATGTTGAGCGTTTTTAGGTAGGGAACGTTGTGATGTGACACAGTATGACCACTGCATTTTGATGCACTATTGCATTCACGAAATACCAAAACTATATGAACATACTTAGACCCCCCCAGGCCTACTTAACAGTTAAGAAGTGCCCACATTTGTAAGTTTAGGGGTTGAATTGCCCACAACTTCACCTCCGTAGGTACAGCCGCGTTGGAAAGTTAAGTGTAACATCTGTCTTAGAAAGACAGCCAGACAGAAACACAAGTGCACATGTGAACAGACACACATGCCCATAATCACACACAGCCGTACACCTTCATGAACACACCACCTTGGCCAGATGGCCCCCCATAAAAACCCACTTAAAGAGATGAGCGAAGTGATTAAGAGGCCTCTCAAAGTGAGGCAGAAATGAGAGAGGGATGAAGAAATGGATGGGGAGGGAGGGAGTACCTGTGTAGAGAGAGAGAGGCCCTAAATACTCTGATGCTTTTAGCTAAGTGCACACTCCTATGATAACAGACTCCCAAAAGAGCGAGGGGGGGCACAATGACACCTACATTTCAGACTTTCTATAAACTACAAAATGCTACGTCCTTGGCCCAGATACATTCTTTATTGTCATCTGAATACTCTGAATTGAACAGAGTACAATGAGAATATGAACAGTTGGCACCGTTACTCAGAAATGGATGTGCTATACACCGTTTTCAAAAAGGGCTGTACGAGGCATGCGCGTGTTGACACGGAGGCTGCGCTACCCAAGGCTGCATCCACCTCTATTCAGCATGTAGATTGGCAATTCTGAGGTGACCTTGTTTTCTGTGAATTCCTTGACATTTTTTTTGTCTGACATTTTCATTTATTTTTAAAAGATAAGGGGGGGGGGGTTTAGGCCCAGTTCAGCCTTACATGAGAGAAAATTCAAAATGTACACGCCAGGCTCAGACATGAGCGCGCTTGCACACACAGAGGGAAAATGTTAACTGATCAATACTATGTCTCTTCTGACCCATGTCTTGTGATGACACTGTGACCTGCTGTACAAACACACACACACACACACTTACAGTCTCTGCAGAGATGAAGCTGGTGTCAGACCGCCAAATGCTGCTAATGTCTGCTGTGGAGACACTTAGTGCCCTCATGGTAAAGGGCTGGGGCGGGGCGGGTCCACCTGTCCTGCAGCTACTTAAGTCAGGACACTAAACCAGACAGGATTAAATGCCTGCTCTGTCATCTTTAGGGCAGGGAACTCCATACAGCCACTCACCGTCCTGCAGGAGAATGTCTTTTACTGATAGCTCTGCTGTCCAATTACACTTCACCTTTTAATACCAGACACAGATGACAGCAGCAGGAGGGGGGGGGGGGAAGGAAGAGAGAGAGAGGATGAAGAGGAGGCTGATGGGCGAAGAAAGAAAGAAGCTGCCATTTCCACTGTCTGCAAAAACAGCTTGTCACACGTCAATAGATTATAGCTGCATTTTCTAAGTATGGTCTCGTTTAAAATAGTGTTTAATCTACAACACCAACTCGTCCCACATTCCCAGCAAATGAGTGTCACAACAGACACTGTATATACAGTACCAAGTGAGATTTTAAATTTACACAAAGCTAGAAAAGGGATTTAATCGAGACGATCATATCAAGATATTTGAGTGTGTGAGTAACAGTCTGTAGTGGAGGATACAGTGTGGGAATGTACTTAAATGTGCTTGAGACGTCAACAACCCCTCGTGTTAGAGTGTGAAATTACCAGTGAAGGATCCATACTTTGTTAGCAGAAATGGTCCTACTGCTGCGTGTGTGCAGATGTTCAAAGTGTAATCGGTAAAATATAAGACTATTGTTAGTCCATTTAGAATGGTGCTGATCCATTAATATGAGTTGGGTTCATTTCATTTCAAAAAGTGAGAGATAAACGCTTTCACTACATAGTATGACCAACTATATTAAAGTACATTTCAGGGACTCAGTACACCAAATTAATTATAAAACAGCAAAATAATATTTGCGGCTATAGAGTAATGTTTCACAAAAAGACACAAAACATTTGGTCCTGTTTTTAGTTTATGCGCAAAAGTGTATGTGATGCCATTTATGGTCCTGCACATGTATATGTAAGTGCATCTCTACATACTACAAAAGCACAGATGCTCCTCTGTGGAGAGTCCCATTCGAAGCAGCTGTTGATGTAGCAGCCTGTGTTGATCAGGAACATGATGCAGCGTCTAACTCTGTTGAAGTTTTGCAACAGCAGCTAAAAAGGAGACAAAAACAAAATAGCAAACGTTTAAAACATATGAACGCTTACGGTCAGGAACGTGTTGTAGCTAGGAAAACAGCATTGTGTGATCAATATTGTACATCGCTGCTTTGTAAAAGTGGTAGATACAGTATGTCAACATATGGACATTCAGTTTAAAAAATAAATAAATAATAAAATGCTGTACTTTTATAAAATTGATGACACTTGTGACATGTAACAGAGTACAATTGGAAAAAACACAAAAGGTTGTTTGATATTCATCACATATGCTCCACGTTTAGTGCTCAGTGGAAACTTTTATGAAAAGACAAAGTAAACAGGAACAAAAATATGAATACAAACATCAGTACAGCTGTTACAGCCCGTCTCTGATGTAGTGATTTGTGATGACATACTTTTAAACAGGTCAATTTTCCCTCTTTCATGTTTAGTTATGTTGTGAATTCTTCACTATATCTTCCATCATATAATTAGTCCCTTAGTTAAAATGACAATAAGTCTTAATATGGTAGCTACATACCCCATTGTGTCTCATTCTGCTGGCACTTTTGAAAGTCAACTGTTGCATTACTTTTTACAACTTGAGATATGCAGCTTTGACCTCACTTTGGCTTTACTATTACATTAAAGCTCTGAGGACACCATGAGGACATTTAGTGTGCTTTACTTCTTTGGACAGCTATATATGGATGTGAATCAGCATACAGGACAAACGGCCACTTTAAGTGTGACAAGCTGAGTCACAATGTTTCTTTAAGTCTCCTCTCCCAGTGATAAAGTTAAGTACAATAGTAAAAATTTCCAACCGAGTCTCAGGATTCTCCTCCGAGGGTTCTCCGTGCGTCTTGGCCAGATATGAGAGAGAGCTGGCTAACTGCTGTCCTCCCCACGGGTTGCCAACCGTTCAGGGAATAGCATAACAGCGGCGCAGGATGCCTACCACCCAATCAGGTCACCACCAGGAGAAAGTGCTCCCAAAGGACAAACCGTCTCTGCAGATCACGGTTCAAAAAAAATCTAGGCCATTATTTTACTCTCTGGTAAATTGTGTGTGTGTTTAAATGTGTGTATACTGTATGTGTTTGTAGCACTACAGAAAAGTCTATTGTCTGTATGAATGCGTGTTTCCGGGTGGATTTGCATGTGGTTAGGGGTGGCTTGGCTGCTTTGATGCAAGATGAGAGGAGGATTCCTCCTTCGCTTTGTATAATTATGTGAATCTTTTTGTTGCCAAACTGAGGATGACTGTATGGTGTCCTGCTGGGGACACACAGACCCTAAGGACAGCAAGACTGTGAATCATCCATTTCCACGTTCCTTAGCGCATGCACTTGATGTACATGCTGTACTCTTCTGGGCTCATTATTGCCTTGATAAGAATATTACATTTTTCATGAATTATTTCAAAGACTGCCTTGAGTTATTCCTTAAAATCACTTAGAAAAGTGGAGACGTCATTTATTAATTTAAATGTCATAATTACAATTTAAATGGTTTTGTTTGGCAGGCAGCTTATGTGTTTTCTTTTTCTTTACTGGGTGTGTGTGTGTGTGTGTGTGTGTGTGTGTTTGTCTGCGCGCTAAGCAGCAAGCAACAGCAGGGGAGCTGCTACCACACAAAAGAGCCCTCACGGGGCAATCCCTCTAAAGCAGCCAGTGACATCATCATTGCGAGACGCTGACATGGGTCATCTCTGTGAGTCAGAGGTGAAATGGAGATTCTGCACTTGGGAGAAAAGCGTGGAGTGGGCCGAGACAGAGAGCAACAGAGAAGGCAGAAACAGCGAGGAAAGAAGGGAGTAGATGGAAGGCTGACAAAAGCGTGGTGTGGGAGCTGCTGCTGCGTGTGTTGTGCTGGGCTGTGCTCGGCTATGCATGGCGCAGTATTGACTACTGAGCCCAAACGGTCACTCATATGACATGTCTGATGTGGGCCAGCCCCTACTATTCAGGCCTTTGTGGTGCCGACATACTGAGCAGCGTGACAATGAAGTGCAAAGCAGCAGTGGCAAAGAGGGCCAACTATAAGGATGGCCAATCTACTTATGCACCCCAGAGCTGACAGCTTGACATTTCTATTCACCACTCAGAGTGGATGCAAGGGGGGGAGGGGGGGGGGGGGGGGGAGCGGGCCCACATAAAAAAAAAAAAAAAAGAGAATTTTTTTCTTTCACCCAC